CGCATACAAACATACATATATATTTTACATGCACATACATGTAGTTAAACTTTTTAATTGTAAATTGCTTTTTTCTAATTCATAAGTAAGGCGAGCAAATAGTCATGTACATTAATATGAACGTCGAATGAATGAATTAAACAAATTCAATATATTACACTTTCTCATGCTACGTGATTTATTATATTTAGTATTCACTACACACTAGATTATGTTCTTCATGCTTAGTTCTATACTATGTCTGTGTAAGTTATCCGATAGCTATCGCTTGAAGTTAACCGGACGGACTCGATGAGCTAATTTTGTTAATCTCCACGTCAGTGCCGAACCCGAGTAATTTAATCAAAATTGAATCAATCGTGTTAGTTCTACGGTATATAATGAATATATAAAGTAGCAGGAAATAAATCACGCTTCGGTATATAAATATCAAAGTGTGTGTGTGTGTGTGCGTGTGTGTGTGTATTACTTGACAATCTTACTAATATTAAAAATATGAAAGTTTAGATGGATGGATGTTTGTGAGAAGGTATCTCCAGAACAGCAGGATCGCGGTGAAATTTGACGTATTCGTAGAACATAGTCTGGAATAACATATAGGCAACTTATTTTTTTTTATTTACGCTAGAACTCGTGTGCGACCACTAGTGTAGTAAAAAAAACTGCAGTAATAAAGTAACAATTTTTATACAGTTCTTTATTTAAATTGCAATGTTTTATTTTTATTTATCAGGTAAATTAGAATCTTTATCATCGTACTGTAACTAAAGAGAACGAGGACACCAAAGGACTGCTGACTCTATAACTTTATTAAAACGAGTTAGTACGCAGTTGAAAACTTTAAAAGCCAATAAAGTATAATAGTTGCAGTTCTGCGAGGAAAATCTGTATTGCATTGTTATAATCAAGTTACAGTTTAGAGATATAGCTTTGGATATTATTACTTGGAAATGGATTAAAATCACTATAAGCATATTTAAATGTTAAAAAAGAATTTTTAGTGGTGTTGCAAATATCCATGGGTGGCGTTGATCACCTCGGTGTCCCCGCCGCTCGTTTGCTTCCGTTATAAAAAAAAAACTAGCCATCACCTATTTTGCTAAATATTAAAAAGTATCTGTGGCCCTCGACTCAGTCCGCGCAGAATTTAAAAACTTAATTAGTAGTATATTTGTTTTTTCATAGTATGCCAAATTTCACTTCCACGCAGCCGTTTGGAGATACCTTCTAACAAACATCCATCTGTACATCTAAACATTCGCATTTATATTATTAGTAAGAAAGTGTACCTAAAAGTTAAATTGATAATTTTCGGACCAAACATTTATTAAGACTAAGGACAATTAGGCGTTAATTTTTTCACTTAATTGACAAATAAATTTACTATAAATATTTTAAGACATTATTAGTTAGAATAATATGGCACGAATGACGTGCTTTCGTTACAAAGTCCAGTGTCAGAATGAATAGTGAGGGGACATAAACGTCGACATTTTAGTAAGGCTAGTGTTGCGACAATACACTGGCATAGTTTCGGATTTTCTTCCTAACAATATATAGGTACGATTTCTATTAAAGCCGTTTTGCATATTAAAGCTATTTTACTAATGAATACATTTCAAACCAAAGTTACAATTCGATAACAAGCACAGACCACTCTTCTAAACTTTAATTAATGATCTGCAAGTCTGACCGCAGACTGCAAATCAAGTAAATGGATTGATTTCAACTTTGCTTAGAGGGCTAGAGGAGCAATCAATTTGGCTAATAACTTCATCTGTATAATTCGAAAACTACCTTAAATAAGCAACTTTAATGTAATTGATTTTGTTTTCGTAATCTTCGAAAGTTAAATTAATATTGCGTTTTATTCGACTTTACTAATATTGTTATGTGTACTGTATTAAAAAATTAAATTAAACTTACTAAAATTCTTTTAATTATGAAGTAATAACATTAGAGATAGACGTTTCTGAATAATAGTTCAAATGCAATAATTCTTTTCGAAGGCGCTCTCAAAACTATTATAGTATTTTTGGCTGTTTCGACTTTTGTTTCTTTCCTCAATCTATAATAGTTCCAAAACAAATATGATTAAGTAATTAATATTTTAAAATTATATTATGTCTATAAAGAATCATGTTATTCTTAATTTTCGAAATTTTGTTTTATAATTTACTTATGAAAAGTGTGAAATGTACTTTAGCCAAATTGGCAATTGGAAAAACGAGGGCGATATTTTCTGATGTTACAGCGCCCTCTACACGGTAATTGCTTCTCCCAAGTGACATTACGATGATGGGAATAAAAATTTTAAGGATTCAACTTTGTAGGAACTTTTTTTTCAGCATTAACCCTAATACAGCCACAAAAATTATTGAACGCCTTCTAACTAAGAATATACAAAGTGCTTAAATTTATTTTATTTTGTAACTAGCTGTCGCCCGCGACTCCGTCTGCGTGGTATAAAAAAAAACTTATTTACGAGCTATGTGTTATGCCAGTCTATGTTGTATACCTATGACAAATTTTAGCGAGATCCTTGCAGACGTTCCGGAGATACCTTCAAACAAACATCCATCCATCTAAACATTCGTCATTTTTAATATTAGTAAGATAGTAAGATTATTTGTTCTTATATTATTCCATTTTAATACGGTTAAATGTAAGTGGGATTGACATGCCATTTTCATGAACATAAAGCAACTGCATACGAACATAACTGCTTAAAAATGAATATTATTTTTGTTCCATTTTCAACAAACAAAAATAAGCATTAAAATCTATCTCGACAAAATAACTATTACGTAAATTCGAGTTTGTAGTTTGGATTTAACACTTCAAACATCAAGGGCTGCGTGCGGATTAACGTTAAAATGTTTTGGAAGTGTACGGATGTTAAAATTTGCACATTTGTATTCGGCGCTAGAAGCATGGTTACTGTCCCGGGGGAGCGCGGGGTTCTGGAGGGGGGACGTATTGAAGTTTCACAAGTTTCTTGGGATCCAATTAATGACGCGATTAACGTAAATTAGCTTTGAGGCGCGAACGACCGATATTAAGCGTAACTCCAAGCTACGGTTACTTCGGATTAAGATGGGGATCAGGGAGTGTTAAATGTAACTACGAATATTTTTTTAAAACTTTCAGTCAATCTTTGACTATTGGAATTGTTAGTTTAGATATACTTTTAAATATAATTCAAAGATATCATTTTTAATAGAACACATTTTAAGTATCATGTTCTTTCAGGAAACGAAGCCTTGTAGTCGCTTTGAAACATCTCGTAAAACATTCCAGGAATGTTTTGCAAATGTATTTTAAGGGTCTGATAAACTTGTTCGACCTTATCACTTGTAGCTAAATGTCACGTACCTGTAGATTGACATAGGGTGCATCAGCCATCACCGTTGGGACTATGAATCCTCCCTCTCCAGTCGACATGTCGATATCTTGACTGTAGATGTCAGTTTTGTCGTCGTACAACTTGACTCGAACACGCACTCGCTTCTCCGTGCTCATTGCTTCCACCTAAACAGAGAAAAAAAATAATTATTGAAAACATCCAAACCGCACAGATTTTTTCATGTTTTTTTCTGATAATAGATGGCGCTAATCTGCATCTTTTAAACATATTGTGTATTCGAAACTATGGTTTGTTATAAACGAAAATGCCATTGTATAAAGTGTTAAGATTTAATAAAGCTTTTAACTTTATTCAACGTGGTTTGGCTTAGATCCAAAACAGTGAAACGGGAATAAATAAATGATAAACAAGGTAAAGTAGATGTTTTTTAGTTTCGTTTTTCATGGGTTTGTAATATTTTTTTTTAATCAATTGATTACTTTATAAAACCAGGATTAAATGTTTTAATATTTATGAAATAAAATTCCAGCCAACCCTTTTATGATTAAAGTGCAATTAATATCGGATATGATGCCCCCGAGAGCCTTTAAGCCATGTATAATAAAGTATTCGTAGCCTTATCCTGCTGCGGTTATATAAAAAGTTCATGTAAAAATGATACTCAGAAATTAATGAATATGTTCTGGAATATCCTAGTTACATTTATACAGAAGAGAGTGTTTTATTTTCAAATTTAAATACATGTTTAATACACTGAAATTATTTTCTAACTGTTGGTTTCCGAGACCAATATCTCTGTATTGCTGTATCGCTGTCATTATTATTGAAAAAGCAGAGATAACATGTTTAAAACAGAGTTTTGGTTTCAGAACCCCACGTTAAGTTGTTTAAAATCGGCGTAGTCAGGAAAAAAAATATGATTGAGTGCAAAGACAGGAAATTGTTATCTTAATGAACATAATTGGAACATTTTTTTTTCAAAAACTTGAGAAAACAGATCAAGACAAGGAAAGACCTGCACGAATATTCAGAAACTAAAAAAAAACGTATATTTTGACTACAAATAATAGCAAGTTTAGAAACCCTAACTCTCACCATTGAATATAGAAATATGAAGTCCACTAAAGGTTGATTAAGTTATTAAAGCCATTCACGATCTGGCTTATGTCCAAAATCTGTGCAGCCAATGGACCCAATTCGAGGCAGTGAAAATTAAATATGTTCGCCCCCGTTTTCGCGCTTTGTGTGTCACGACCCTTACAATATGTAACCTACATTTATATGTTAATTGCGAGTAAGCTTTTTTATCCGTTGGGATTCGATGGCTTATTTTCTCATTTTGTTGTTCATGATTTCTCGTATACTTTTAGTACTCTTTTATTTTAGTCACTGATTTTCGTATATGCCTTTAAGTTTTTTTAAACATGTAACAAACTCGAATCAAAATGTTATTTAAAAAGGAATATTGCGATACAAGGAAAGGAAACTACGTTCACGAGTTGCACAGATTAAAATAATCACCTAACAGTGGATAGCAGCCCGCTTTAACATCTTCGCACGAATCGGCCCGGCTCGCCCGGTGAAATACCACGACCACACAGAAGACAGGCGTGAAATGGAAGCAATTCCGCGTTTCGTCTGATGAGTGTGCGTCCCGGAGGCCTAATTTAGTCGTCTTTCCCTTCCCATCATTTTCTTTATAAGGAAAGGATGGGAAGTGGAAGTGGACTTTCCGGATGAGAGGATGCATGGAAATGGAAGATATTTTGTTTCTGTGCATTTTCTCCTCCGTAGGTTAAAGGTAGGCAACGCATATGCAATTGCGTAAGTCTATGGGCAACGGACACTTCGCTATTTCAGTAATTTCAGGTGGCCGCTCGCTCGTTTGCCACCTTTTGATATATAAAAAAAAAAACCTTATTTTTATATATCCTGTGATTCTTATTCGAAGGAAAACTTTTGATAACAATCAATAATATTTATATTAACGAAAATACTCAAACAGTTGTAATACTAATTCAAAACACTGCGGACAGAACGGAGAAAGAATCACGTCGATATAAAAGCTCCTCGTTAGGCTGCGTCCGTAATTTATTATATTGTAACACTGCCAAGACATGGGTAAGAATAGTATGGATATACCCACCGCATACAAAATACTTCTCGTTTGTTACGTCATCTGGATATGACGCAATTTATTAACAGTTTCTGAAGTCCAAATAGCACTATTATATTTGTATAATATGGGAATGTGAGGGCTGTATTATTACGAATTCGTTTCATGTATTGAAATATGGCAATACTTAATATAATTTTCTGATTTATAGATTTAGTTTGTTTTGCGGATATTTAAGTATGTTTTTATGTTTGTGGTTTTGTTTTTATCTATTCAATTGTGACATAGCTTGAACAGGTTAACTGATTTGGGAATTTTTGATGTGTGATTTAATTCGTAATTTAATTAAAGAGTGTCGGGGAGTCTTTGATCTTTGACATTAGCAACTATTTACCTAATTAAATAATCAAACGTTAAAACATTTTAGTATGCATAATACTTATAATTTTAGAATCATCCAAATAACTGATTAGTATTAAAAAAATACACTTATAGATTAGCCACATTTTTTGGTTTAAATGTCTAATTTTGATGTCGTATCCATGATAAGCGAACAAAGAAATATTTATTGTTAAGTCAGGATAAAGAGACACCCTCCAATGTTTAGCAAACGAAGTATGAGCTAACGAACCATCATTTGTTAACGTTCATACACGTAGATAGTCAGTGCTTTAAACGCAGGACTATTAATAAAAGAAAACGTGATATTCCCGTGGAGCAATTTACAAAAATATAACTTTACTAATTGCAAATATTTGAAATTGTAGCTTTAAAATTATCGTTAGACTAATGATATTTTATTTTTCTTTATTTTCCTATTACTGTTTTAGTTTAGTTTAATTTTTATTTTGTGATTACTGAATAAAATAGGGTTTTTATAGACAGATGGACGGACAACAAAGTGATCCTCTAAAGGTTCCGCTTTTTTCCTTTCGATGTACGGATCACTAATAAAAGTATCAATTTTATATTGGTTTATTAACTTCACTATTTTTTTTTTCTTTATCAGACTACATAATAATAAATACAAGTAACTGATTTGCTACATTGATTTCTTATTTAATTCAAACTAACTCGATGCCAAGTAAAACTCTGAAAGAAATAAAAGTCAAACAAGCGAAAATATATTAAAATGTACATTAAATACTCGTATGTATTCTTTGTTATTCAGGCAACAATCACAACATGAAAATAATACACCAAAGACCTACCACGTAAAGAAGATAAGAATACGATATAACTTTCGATGTTAACCCTTAATTCGACGAATTTTTTTGTAGGAAAAAAACTGTTTTTTTTTAGTAAAGTCATACTTACGTAATTTTCTCTAAACTATTTCAGTATTTTTTTTTATTACAGTATTAGTTGTTCGTCACAATGGACCATCGAATTAAGGGTTAATATGTGAAGCGACACAATTTACCGTGTCACAATAAATTTTACACTAAAAACAACTCGTATTCTTTTAGATGCAGCATTCACTGAGTGTACCGCATATAGTGTCGTTATGTAATCGTACCTTTAGCCACAAAAGAAGATACACTTACCCTTCCAACAAAAGGCAAGCCAGGCTTGTACCGTCGCCGCATGCTGTCAGCGAAACGTAATTCTACGTAGTGTTGTTCAGCCGCCGGCGCGGCTGCACTAGCGCCTCCTGGGCCCGAGCCTACGTTGATATCAACCCGAGCTGATGCTCCACCGCACTTCGCTTCGACACGCCATATCCCAGAACGAGCGCCCGGCGCGATGATGGAACTTAATTTTCTGACACCTGTGAAGGGAATGTTGAGTCAGTTTAACTTTGTAACAGGTAACATATGACCGATGATCGTGTTATGAATTATGCGTCATTTCATGCTAGTGTATATCAAGTAAGTAATCATTCTACTGTTTATGACCGTACCGGTTTGCTTTTATTAGTTCCTTTATAGCTATCGCCCGTGACTTCGTCCGAGCGAATTTAAAATAATAAACTTAATTAGTAGCTTATGCGTTCTTCTAGACTATGTTTTATATCTATACCAAATTTAGTCGAAATCCATGTAACATTTCTGGAGATACCTTATAGCAAACATTTGCCCGATTTGTTTTTACAAACATAATACTAAAAAAAAATTGTCGTATTTTTGGTAATTTGATACTAAATCACTGTGTCTACATAGGTCAGTGGAAACTCAACTAAAACATTTTGCTATGCTCGCGGCAGGCAAGCGTGAGAACTTCTCTTAACCTAATTACTTTTAACACTTGTACCAAAAACCAGCATTCGAAGCCTAGATACAACTTCAAGGCAAGAGTCTGTTGGCCTAAATGTCACTTCGCTGTTTTTTTTCTACATATTGGACAACCAAGAGCATGACCATGATGCCACCTGATGTTAAGTGACGTTGTGAGTGAAGAAAGTACGCGCTATCTTAGTAAAATCCTATTTGCTCAACTCTTAAAGGCCACGCCATCGCTGTTAGTTAAAATTGCTAAATGAATACTTGCTTAAAGGATAAATGGCGAGGTAGGAAATGTAATTTAAAGTGGTTTAGTGGCAATAATTATGGAAGTTAATTTAAGCAGAAATTAGGATCATTGTAAATGATTTGATTTTTACGTCTGACGTTATTACGTTCATCATCAGCTCACTATACGTCCCCGTACTGAGGAGCTCGGAGCTTACCCCAAGTTGCTCAACCACGATGGCTCAGTGCGGGTGGGTTGACTTCACACATATCTTTGAATTGCTTCACAGATATGTGCAGGTTGTACCACGATGTTTTTCTTCAACGTCAAAACGTCAGATAAATGAACATATGTAAATCGAAAATTAAAAAACACATTGGTACATTCGGGAATTCGAACTCGGGACCTACAGATTACAAGTGAGTAGCCCCAGAACCGACACTCTTACCTATTACGTTGATACATCCAATTCTAAAATCACTCAAAGCTTGTAAAACGAACGGATATATATCCATCAGTAATAAGTCACCCGCCCATGTAAAGGCAAATCCAATCTATCACAATTTGACACGGGTTTCCACTGGATATGACACGAGAAAGCTTTTATAGAAGGCTTCAATCCATGATACGTTTACGCAACTTTTTTTTTCACAATATACCGGATTTTAGACCGCATTCGGTTTTGTTTTTTTTTTATCGCACGTTAAAAAATTATATTTCTTTCTGACTTTAACTTAAATACAAAGATTTTCTTTCTTTATTGATAGAAACCGAAAATGAAATCACCTCTTCAAAATAAAATCCTACGTTATTTCACATGTTAAAAAATAAAATTAAACTCTGTCCTTTATGTGGGGATATTATTTGAAATTATAATACTTAAATAATCTTCTATCTTTAAATATATCGTAACAAGGGTATCCTATTTCACAAACACGACCCCATAATTCGTCTAGCCAGCCCAATACTTCGACACAGTGCTAAATTAGAAGCCATCTTAGTCCGTGACAAGAAACAATTTACTTGGAATAGTTTCACTAAACTGCCCTAGTTCATTTCTCCTTGGTTGTTACTAATGAACTTTTAGTTTTATTGAGTTTTGCTGCTTAAAGTTAGCCAATACCTAGTTATTTGAAAGTTTGATTTTAGAACATATTATTGTTTTAGTTTAAATTAATGTTTAATGATTGATTTAAGAAATGTTGAACTTTTTGAATAGCATAAGTAATATAAATGTTGGTAGCTTAGTTGTAAAGCTTTGACTGTACCGTAAATTTTCACGTCCAGGTTCGATCGCCTTCAATTACCAATGTGTTATTCTATTTTCGAATTTCATAGGTAGATATTTCTTATGTTCATACGGTGAAGGAAAACATCGTCATGCAATCTTCACATATGTCAGAATTCAACCAACCCGCACTAGCGTGGTTGACTATCAAACTATCAAATCAATTTTTTTTTTAAATGTATGTTTACCATTAAATCTTAGCATTTAAATTACGAGCTAATATAGTGTTTGAAGTCTAACTAAATAATAAATATTCTGTACATTTCAATATTTTTATAGCCGATATTTGCACAAACCTTTTTGGGCCACTCTAATCTATAATAGGAATCACCTAAGAACCGTAAATAAACGCAAAGGGAACATAATACGCAATCCAAACAAAGGCTGAGCATCACTATTTGTAATCGGAAATTGAATCTGTCAGATACCGGTACAGCCTTGATCCATTGTTTCAGTGACAAGAAAACGCTTTTAGCGAGAAAAAACATTACTCGTACATATTGTTTACAAGAATCCCATTCTGGATTAAGTTACCAACTCGATAACATAGGAAAACAACGTTGTTTAAATTACGAACACTTTGACTACGACATATAATGAGATGATAACAAAAGATGGAAAAGGACTAAATTTTATCACACGAAATATATTTTTAAAAGACATCTTTACACTTAAACTTGTAAATCATAGTTAAACACTTTTCTTCACATAAATTTAAAAACAAAATATATTGATAAATAGCACAATGGCCGCCATGATTAGAATTTGATGTTCTTCTGTTTATATATAATAATTTAGGCGTTTGTTCTATTAAAATCTTACTAATGTTATAAATGCGAAAGTTTGGATGCATTCATGGATGAATGGATGGATGTTTGTATCTCCAGAACTGTACAACGGATGTCGATGAAATTCGTCATATATTACGCAAGCTACTTACTAAGTTACATTTAATAGCGCGCGGACGGAATCGCAGGCAACAGCTAGTAAGTTTATAATCTCTGTAATTAAGTTTTCTTAAGCTTTGTTTAGTTGTTATTATGACATATTTAAAATTTGTATACCATACCTTCATCCATCGACATTTGATCCCAAATAGCGACCTTGGTGCCCGCGGGATCACTCAGCGCAACGTAAGCAATTTCCCCACGAACCAATCGCAGATCGTGATCCAAAGCCAGTATCCAGAATGTAACTGTAACAACATATGTTTAATTTAATTCCAAGTTGCTTTATACGAAAGTCGATCGACACTGGTTGAGTAAAAATTTTATTAAACAAACAAGTACCTAATGTTTTTTTTCCTAATTTACTTTGTTTCTAATCATTAATAATCGTGTTTGCATTGAAATGAAATTCATCATTAACTTTCAAAATAATGATTCCAAATGAAGTAACCTTTAAACAATATCGCTTTTGAATAACCTCGCGTTATTTACGTAAACATTAAACATCCAGATTTATACGAAAATTATGAATACAATAGTTGTTAATACAAAATGAACCTTAATACTCTTAGCTAAGATACATTTTGAAATGCCTTCAAACAAATGATTTTGATTCAATTAAGCAATGTTTTCCGCGGAGCATAAATTTAAGCATCGCGAAGATACAAAATAAACTCGTAAAATAACAACGAAGTCAAGCAAAAATTAATAGCAAGAGAGGGAAAATATAACAATGGATACTCAGTTTAGGTTTTGGAAAATACCTTTTTATAGCGTGTTTACAACACAACCATTCATCTAAAGATTTAACAAGCTTGTATAATCCAATACACTACAATACAATTTATTGGTAATATTTAAATTACTGGTCAAAAGAGTATGATTTACAAAAAAAAATTACTCATAAAGTTCTTCATATGAATATAGAGTCTTCTCGATAAGCAATGATTTTAATCTATTTTTAATTGATTCGAAGCTGGTTGTAATATTTTTGCCATAAAAGAAAAAAACAATTTCAAACCGTCATATATTTTTTCTTTTAAATCTTAAAACAATGGAGAATCACAATTCCTTCAAGACACAATTCTACTTCAATCCAAATTTAAGTTATAAAAGCGATAAATTATATGTAATCCTAAAATACCTTCTTGATGTTTGAAAGTCAATTTGTAAGTAAACGGTCACAAGAGCAGTTTGTAGAGAAATGTATGGGCCGTTGCTTAGTAATTAATTACACCGACTAACACCCGGTTTACGTTCCAACTTGAACAATAAACGGAAAGTTGGCAGTAGTCGAACAAGTTCACAATACCGAACCGCGCCAGCTCGCAAACTTCGCTTCGATTATGTTTTACATGCAACGATGTGTTTTTGAGTGAGGTCAAAATCATCCCTATGTTTGCGAATCAACTGAATTTTTCTAATATTCATCTAATTTAATAGCAACGTATTGCCAAAATTGCAGTAATAAAGCACACACAGTAAATTCGTCGAATTTGCAGATGCGTTGCCTACCTTTAAAAGAGGGAGGGAGACGGAGACAAAAATAATGTTTCCTCTTCTTATGCGTCTCCTCCGTCAAAACCACTTTCTCCTTCCATCCTAACCTCATCAGAAAAAGGTAGGAAGAGAAAGAACACTAAAATTAAGCCTCTGGAACGCACATTCATCAGACGAAACGGATTACGTCCACTTCTATTTCTAATTTATAATTGTACTTACTAGTTTCTCCAGGTCTATAATGATGTCTGGCAGGTCGCACAATTACATCCCTGACTGGTCCCAGAAGTCTGATGACGCTGTGACTCTTCGCCGTACACTCGTCATTGCCCACACAACCAACAGTCGTGTGAAGCGTACAATGAGTAGCCGGAGACGATGGTATCTTCAGTGAGATGATGCCATATCCTGTAACAAACAAACCTATTATTTTTCTACCAAGGACAATAAAAGTGTCAAAAATCGCAGAGTATCAGCTCTAATAGATATCGAATTCTCCCCATTTCCGAACAAGTTCTGGAGTAAATAATATTTAAATAGAACTAGTGCGGTCCATTTAAATCCAACTAAGGCCTCGAGGGTCTTCGATATCGACAATAAAAGCATTTGGAGCACCTCCAAATGGAAAAGATGTCGGAGAAAATTCACAATCCGTTCGCCAACTAAGCACTTAAATGAACCAGACACTATTAAAAGGTAAGGAGTTATTTTATTCCGCAAGTATCGAAATACGTGACTACGAAAAAATTTTATGTGACATATTTTCTTTTTAATTATTAATCTTGAATTGTAAATGCCGGATCACCAATATTTATTGGAATATAATAGCTACGAAATTTGATAAAAATTCAAAAGAAAAAAGAAAACTTCTACAGCACTGCATGGAGAGATAGAGGTCTTACTTTATGGTTCTTATTTTATACTAGCAATTGCCCGTGACTTCGTTCGCGCTGAATTAAAATTCTAATAATAAATATAGCTTACATCACCCGGTGATAGTGCAGATACCCCAAGGATGAAAGAATTTTTCAAATTATATTATAATTTTATGTTACTTTTCTAGCGCCAAAAAACACCACCATAGACCGATATAAATCACCATGGCATTTACTCCATTAACATTAATGCTTTGTGAAAAACAGCGTCCCAATGCCACATGAGGCAACCGAGAACCGAACTTTCTCGCACAGTCCCCGCGTTAGTCACGAAACCTATTACGGAAAGTGTCATTCAAACACTCTGTGTAACGTAAACCTGAGCGTATTCCCACATCGTGACGTTCATAGTTACAGTTGAGAGTTTACTTAAGCTCGGAAGTAACGGTTTGCGATAGGCGGCTTGAATTACGTGTTACAGTTGCCATTTGTTTTACGTTAGTTTTTATTGCATACTAGCTGTCGCTCGCGACTTTGTCCGCTCGTTAACAAAAATAACATAATTATTAACTTTTGTGCTCTTTTAGACTAGTTCTACTGCTATGCCAAGTTTTAGCGATATCCATTCAGCCGTTTATATCGGAAAAAGATAAGGGCTGTTTTTAGGGTTTTCCCCGCAATTATTCGAATTTTAGAACAGAACAGAACAGAACAGAACAGAACAGAACAGAACAGAACAGAACAGAACAGAA